AGAAGCTAAATTCACATACGCTAAATTAAGCCACATTATTTTGGAAAATACCACGTCCATATATTGGAAAGAATGAGGTGCAGGAGAACAGGGATGGAAATGTAGAGTACAAGGAAAAGTGGGCACTGCTTATTGGTGGAAAATCCACCACTACTGCAGCTGTGGGAAGGATTTTGCAAAAATCAAGACAAATTATACCAAAGCCTTCATAATCCACTGCAGCAAGGCTGATCAGCCACATTCGTAGTCTGAAAAGAATGCAACAATTAGATAAGTGTTGCTCTGCTGAGAGCGTCATAAACCTCTGCTCACATTGCATATTTCATGACTGATTTTTATCCATTTTGAGCTCAAAACAAATGCGCATTGAAATCCTGACATCTAAGGGAACATTTGTCAAGAACATCCCGTTATGGTAAACAACCGATAAAAGGACAGTCATGCGCTGGAGGATATGCGACCAATCCCTCCGCTGATGTTCATAACAACGCCACAATGAATGTATTATTAAGGAGTGGAAAAATTAAAGATACAGAGGCACCCCGGAAGGTGCGGGGAGGGGAATGAATGAGACAAATGTGAGACGAGTTTGGATAAATCGTATGATAATACTGCTTTGCATCTGCGCCAGAACTACATATATTTATTCAAACCTTGTGAAGTGCTCCTTGTTTTTTTCAAACAGTACCAGATAATAACCAGTGCGGTCTGATACAGCGATGCCGCTCGATGCAATATCCTGGCTTTCCTCAGCAGATACTAGCAGACGCTCACTGAAGACGTGAAGAAGCAACACACTGTTCGTGCCCTGCAGCAGGGTTACGACATTACATGAGAAAGCGGAAAACACTGTGCGATAAAAAAATAATAATGTTTTCGAAGAATTCACCAAAGCCGCATCGACGATCCTCGACAGCAAAAGAATACAGCCCGGCTTCGAGGATGACTGCGCCGAAACTACTTTGTACGATCCTTTCAAGCACGGTCTGCTACAAGATCCCAAATAAATCTTTTCTTCTGCGGTTGAACTGCTACTACTCCTGCAGCATAACAAATATATATTCAAAATCCATTATTTACCGGGTCCGATTATTTCTAGCAAAAAAAATATGGTGGAATTTGGCAAATTTCAGAATAATATGCAAGCAGGCTTAGGAAAATGTCTAGAAGAATGCTCGGAAACAACCTGCTCTCGGTCGACGGCACGGCATTCGGCGTTCTTGAGTTGTGCATTTCAGCAAGAAAATCAGCGGCATCAACTACAGCCTGATAGATGTTCAGGTGACCGGAGCAGTTGGCCACAAAGCAGGAGCTCGGCGACGTGAATAACAATCCCAGTGATGTACTAAACTCCATTAACGCATATACTATGCAAATTAGTCACTTGCCGCAAGATTATAGTTTGTTCCCGCCACTGACACCACAGGCAACTTGTTCGAAAACGATATTAAAAGGGCGCAGACAATGGCAATGCTGCTGAATGATGCAGGCAAGGAGTGCAGTTTTGGAGCTAACCTCGGCAAAATTGCTGGCAACCAAGTGACAGCTGTGAATGAATCCGAAGAATTGCTTGTTATCCGTGCCAATTCTCGGATGCCACCACATTTGCAGAGTGGGCCAACCGGCTTGATCTTCCACAGTATCAGTTCCGCTTTGCCTGTTTCTTCAGCGTCCAGCGTCCGATAGTTGTAGTGGCTAGTTGTGAGGAGCAATGGAAGCACCGGATGAGCTATCACCTATAACCATCATCATCATTACTACTGTCATTATCATCAAAAAGCTCAAAACAGAGGAGGTTCGCCGAGCCGCTCTGCTCTTCAGCATGCAGCAGCTCCAAACACATCAAACATGCCGTGACCTGGGATATTTTATATCGATGCCCGCACATCCGGGAAACGTGTGATATGTTCACCACAGTACTGAATTTGCCATTATCTTCCATTGTCAGATTCCACATGTTAAGAGAGCCATTGTCATGCTGCGTCAACAAATACAAATTTGTGCTTCTTCGTTCCAGGA